AGAGCTGATATAGCTCTATAAAGTTACTGGGTAGATTTTATTAAACCCTCTTAGATAAAAAGTTATAGTCATTTAAAAATTTGAAACACTTCATGTAACTGTTAAGTATAGGCTTACAGTATCATATAAAAACTTATTATGAGTTCATATTATCTAGTACTAGTTTATGTTTCTTTATACAAAATACAACTGTTGTATAAATGTCATATAATCTTTTAGTTATGCTAATATAATATAGGTAACAGGTATCTGATATCAACTAATAACAAAAGACAATTAATCATAATATAAAAAGAATTTCAAATTTTTACTAATACTAGAATTTGAACTTTAAATCTGCTACTTGAAGGTTGACAATATAATTATTTCACTATATTATTATGTTTCAAAATAACATATATATCAATATAAAATATTATAAATATATTTTATAAAATTTATTTTTATTAGTATTGTTTTAATAAAGTTTTTGTATTTTTATAAGCTAATTTTTTAAGAATTTAAAAAAATATTTTTATATATTTATTTTTTAAAAATAGATATTAATAAAAAAGTTTTTTTAAGTTCTTGTTTTTGAAAAGTAATATTTTTATTTAATTTTATAAAAACACAAATGCCTTTAATAACTTTCTTATATAAAAGGTTACAACTAGTTATATATATATTTCTAATATCTAATTTAAGTAGTTTGTCTATATATTATTATATAAGTTTTATATTAGATGTTATATTTGCAAATTAACTATAAATTTTGCTTATTTAAATTTTTTATATATATAATCTATTTTGTATTATAAAAACATTTTTAAAATTATATTTATTTAAAATATCTAATGCATATCTTTAGAACTATTTTATTCTTAACAAAAAACTTACTAGAACTTTCTATATTTTATATACAACTAATTTAAGTTTACATAATATATTATAGCTAAGTTAATATTTGTAATTATAGATATTATTTGTTAAGCTATTATATTATACTATTTTTACTTTTATAAAGTTTATTAAAATTCTAATACCTATCTTTTTAATATTTTTTAATTATATTCTACTAAGTTCTCTTACTTAAAACTAACAAAACTTTAAATTGTTAATCTAAATAATTTAATATAATATATTTTTATATGTTTTTTCTCTAATAAATTTTAATTGTTTGATTAATCATATGTTTTTTTATATATCTTTATAGTTGAGTTTATTTATTTTTTCTTTAAAAAATATTTATATAATTCTATTAATTTAATAATATTATCAAAAGTTCATGCTACTTTTTATTTAGAAATTCCTAAATAAGCTTTTAATTTTTCAGTTTTTGAATTTTTTATATTTAGTAGTTTTATTATAACTTTGTATTAAAATATTTTGCAATGCTGATAAATATTTCTTTATGTTTATATTTTATATAAATGCTTTAAGCTCCTATATGAGATAGTGTAATCTATAATTATAGATATGCTAAATTAACTAATCATTAAAAAATAGTTTGTTATAATATAAGTATAATTTTTAAATTTTATCATAAGTAAGATTTGAATACTAAATCTATTATTTAAAAATTAACAACTTATTTATTATACCAAGTTATCACATCTTCTAAAAAAAATTTTTATTAATAATATATTTTATTTTTCTTTATTATTGTTTTTAATATTAAGAAAGTCTTTTGGTTAATTAATTTTACTTAGTTATAATTTACTTAATACTGTACAATAGTTACTTTTTACTATTTATACAACATATATATTAAAAAATAAATACTAATTATATATTTAATTTTAATTACTTATTTAAGTAGTTCACTTATTACTAAGTTTTACACTAGTAGCCATACTTGTAATTCAACTAAAAAGTTATTTATTTAAACTTTTTACATTTATGCTAAGCTTTTTTTTATATATTTTATATTTAAAAACAACCATTTTTTTAAAAAAAAAAAAATCCTTATTTGATCTAATTTTTAAAAATTAATTGATTAATTTTAATTAAAATTTTAATTAAATAAAAACAGAGTTGACAATAAAGTTCAATAGAGACCCAATAAAGCAATAAATAAAACCAATAAACTCTAAATAGAACTAATAAATACTAGTTTTTTTAAAGTTTTATTTATATAACTTTTAAGATTTATTTATATTATTAAGTTTATCGCTCCTATTATTAACTTTAAATAAAGAAAACAATAATGAATTAAAATTATTTAATATTCTTATCAATAAAATTATTAAACAATTAAATATAGTTAGATCTTATTATAATCACTTTGATACGTATAATTACAATTTTTTATAACATTTGACCTTTATATAGTCACAATTTTTTATAATCACCAAATTTTTGATTTCCGATCTGGTGATATTGAGGTAATTGTATCTACCTAAAATTGAACGTATTCAATTACTTTTATAAAATTTTTTTATGTCTAATGGTCCAAAAAACTATTTAGATATTTGGATTATGTTTAATGCCCAAACGTCCAAATGCCCAATTAAATTTATTGAAATATTGTCCGATGACAACTCTGCTTAAAACAGAGAAAGTAGCTTATGTTTAATAGTAACTTACAGTATTTTAAACACATATGTTGCAATTTGAATCATAATAAAATCAAGAATAATAATTAGATTTTAAAAAATTTCAAAAAAATACCAAATTTTAGCCAATTTTGCATTTCACAACCAAAATCTAAATCTAGTGTTAAAATTAATTGAAGCAAGACCAGCAGTAAGTGATAATACTAGGTAACAAAATTATTATTTAAACAACACAACGAGTGGGATATTTGCTTCATTAGTAAATTTTATCAATGCTGAAGGATGGCAAGTATACTAATACCGTTTAACATAGTCAACAAGGCCGTTAAATTTGTATAGTTGCTATAATACTAGTAAAGAGCTTTTTTAAAACATTTACAATGCTAGTATAGTACCAGTGCTTCGCACAAAGACAAATATTTACTTGATGGAATAGGTTTTTCAAACCGTGCAATTACAATCACATACTGAATACATATTTTTTCTATTTATCGAAAGTACCATTACAAGATTCTACATTCCTTTTGGCAATAGTAAATTAAGACAAGAAATGCACATTGAACATATACATTTATAGGAAGCAAAATCGAAAAAGCCAAGTTTGGACTAAAAATTTATTACGCAATAGAGTGTGCATTTATATTGGTGTTACTGTTTATCTTTTTGGACGCACACGATGACACCAATATTTGTAATCATATGACATGCAGCTTGTGCATAACACAAGGTCGGCGTCGAATAAAAATCTTACCAATTTACTAGCTTTTTTTTTTTATATCTGGAAAAAAAGGAAAAATGTCATTACCTGATGATATAATTTATGATATTTTACCACACCTTCATGATGATATGCGTACTTTGTATCGATGTCTTTTAGTAAATCGTCTTTGGTGTCGAATAACGGTTCCAATTTTATGGTGTCGGCCGTTTACAATTTCATCCAAACCTTTTACAAATAAGCATCGCACCAGTCGTACTCTTATAATACAGACCTATGTCTCATGCCTTAACAAAGATGAAATTACATATTTAATTCCTTACAAAATAGATTTTCTTGACATCCAATTGACACTGTTTCCTTATGAAAAATATCTTCAAGAACTTTCCGATAATGCCATAGACAAAGGTGTAAAAGGATGGTTTCAAGGAAAGAAACTTATCTTTCCTTTCGTCGAGTATGATCATAGGGCTGAGGCTATTACATACGCACTCTGGCGCATGTTCATGCGTCAATGTGTGAAAATACAATCGGTATCTATCATGCCTTTGTATGTTCGATCTGGTATATCGAATGTACCAAATTTTTCAGATGCAATGACTGCTTTGTCTCATGTGCGAAGTTTCACATGTCGTATTGATTGGAGTGACAGTGCTGAGAAGTATCAAAAAACCATACAATTATTACAGAGATTAAAATCAGTTTGTAAAAAAATCACACACATGAAGGTTTACATACACGAGAAAGCCGACCCAGGCGTTCTGGATGCAATTGTTCAGATAATTAAAATACAAAAAGGTATCAAAGAAGTCTCTTTTAAGAATAATATGATTCTGAAAGGAAATCTTTATCAATTTAGGCCACTTTTGGTCCCAGTCATGGAATCACAGGCAAACTACGTAACTTCGTTGGCATTTCGATCGGTTAAATTTAATGATGTTTCAATTGCTGCTTTGGCTGGCTTCTATTCATTGGAATCATTGTGTCTACAGAAATGTCGAAATATGACGAAAGAACATAGTGTTATACTGTCTGCAGCATCATTCCGTATAAAGTTTTTATCTCTGTTGAGGAATTCTTGGTCAAATTCTATTACTGCTGCACTTATTGCTAAGGCAGGTGTTACTTTACAACAAATGGTACTGGATAATGTTTGCACAGAAACGACACAAGCAGCATTAAACCATTGTCCAAACCTTAATATTTTATATATAGAAGTATCAGTTTACAATTATAGCCTAATCACATGGATTGGTTCAACAAAAATTCAGCAACTTGAAGTATCATTCGGCGGAATATTCCGCTTGTCCACTGAGGACACGGCTAAATCACTACAATTATTAGGAGAACACCTTCCTGCCACTGTGAATTATCTAAAATTGGATGGGTTATATATTTCTAATGAGGCATTTAACGATTTTATTAATAGTTGCAAAGCTCCGTTATCAACATTAATTATTTCAATTGATTGTTATCATGATTTCGAAGAGAGTGTACTCACTGTTCTCGAGTTTGCTTATAAACATAAAACTTTGAAGAAATATGGGAATTATGATAACAATAGGTATGTACATAACGTGTCTATTAAGGAACTGGAAAAACACGGGATCAAGATATTGAATACGTATGATATTAAGAGTCTTTCATCGAAAGCATTTTAAGGCATGTATAAAGGATTTCAATTTATCAGAGGGCGATTCCTCATAAAATATGTTGAGAATATATACCTAAATGCAAGAAGGAATTCAATTAATAGACATCGATCCCATCATTGGATTTTTAGAACTTCTTCCAAAAGATTATTTATTGGCTATAAACATGTTGCACGATCATATGTTACAAGCATTTATTTTACTGGAGCATAGATGGGACAAAAGAATAGTTACAATCATGTAAATATGAACATTTTGAGATGTTGAAAAAAATATACTCGCGAAAACGAAATATTTGCAGGAATAAAAAAAATTGGAATCAATTCAACATAATTCTCTTAATTAGCAATTATACATCAATGAATTTTATATGCATAGTACTCTAAGTTTTCTGTATTTTCATCAAAGGTCTGAGTAGAATTGTGTTGTATTGCAATTTTTGCAAATTTACACATACTCTGCAAGTGATAAAAACTTTGATTAAAGAGTAAACTTATGGAATACTATGCATACAAATTTTATTGATGTGTTGCGCAAGACAACACTGCAAACTAATAGATATATTCATCAAAAAATCTTTTGAGACAAATTTGTGATTATATGCTCTTATACAAATATTTGGGCTATATACACTGCTAGGCTATTAAGAACCAAACAAAATACTATATACACTGCTAGGCATTAAGAACAAAACAAATTATTAATTAGATTCATCAGAAAAAGGTATAACCTAATGTAATTTTCAGGTTTGGAGTCTTACACAACTCCGAACTTGAAGACGACTAATAAAGGTAATTCTGCACAAAATCCATGAACAGTATTAGTAGGAATAACATCATTATAGAATTCTGCATACCATTTGTTTTTTTGCCCCAATATTGACATTTTAAAGTTGTAATTAGAATCATAATTTGATCTGATTTATAAAAGGTTTCTTTTATAAATTCCAATAAATACCTACTACTAAGGTCACAAATTTTCCGTAAGTCAAACTCGAATCTGCAAAAGGTTAAACTTTAGATGAAAATTTTATTACCAACTAATAATCTTTATAGAGTCTTTAACCCATTAGTCCTTTATTAACAAAATCTTTGCATACCTGATTAGAAACCACATTGAACACAAATACCCATTACACAACCTTCACTAATAGTTATAACTGGAATAAATGTAATGGCAGGTCTTATATCTGAAGGGAATTTAGAACTCATCATTGATTTTACACCTATTCCAAACGATGAGTAAAAACAATAAGAATTTGATTTAATTTAGTTTATGCAAATATAATATGAAAAACACCTTTTTTCAAAGTTGTAACCTCAACCCCAATTTTTTCTGAGTAAAAAAATCTGATAGAAGATATGCTGGTCCAAAATATTGTACTGGTTTGATCATTTGTTTCCTCCAGGTTATTGTATTTGCAAAATTGATCATGTAGTTTTAATAATCCGAGTTCTATTGAGGCTAATAAAGTCGTTAGAGTGGTACCTATTAAAAAAAGAGAGAAATATTAGTATAAATAATAATAAAATATGGAATAAAAAAAATATACATACTTTTTTCAACTCTTATTGTTATAATGCTATTTAGTATAGGATTTATAAACGATGTAGTTATCTTTATTATGCGGGAATCTTTGGTGTCTAAAGTATCTTTATTATAGTTGACGAATATAAATCAAATTTAGCACGTGTCATGACTTGAGCGAATAGATTATTAACTAAAGGATTTAAATAGTAACAATAAAAACCTTCCCACACGATAGGTCCATGGTTTAAAATTCCTGAACCTTCTTCCAAATCGTCGTTATAATTTTTACGATTTATTTTTCCATCATGTAACAAAACTTGCCATTCAACTTTAGCTTCCCGAGGAAGTGACGGTACAGCAATGTAGAGACTTGGTGGCACTTTGTAGCAATTCTATACTAAAAGAGGTTAAAATCCTAATCCTAACTTAATGACTAAAATACAATCATTTATACATGTGCCAACTCACATCACCCTTCCTCCATTCACAAACACACTTCCAAGCTTTTTGCACAACTTCAAAAGCAGTGTCCTCATCGACGAAACAAATACACCCCACCGAAAACATCCAAACATCTAGCTCCAAGACTGACGTGATTCTTTCTAAATTTTTTAATGAAAGTATAGTTTGGGAATGCACACTGAGAGGAGTTGGAAATCTTAACGATGCAGGAATTAAGCCTATCTGTCCTGCTATATATGCATGATTGTTTATCTAAAAAAAAAGAAAAATTTATAATTAATAAAGAAACTTCGAATTCTCAATTCTGGAACTTTGATTTTAGAATTTACAAGTTTAGCTTGAGAATAAGGTCCAATATTTGCAGGTGCCCAATATGACATGCTTTGAACATGCATAGTATTCACTGGTTTGATGTTTGAATAATCTCTAAATTTTATAGCAATTAAATCAATTTGGATCTTCGCCGGAGATGGAAGATTACATCCAACACATGTTCTAATACAATATATTATTATACAAGTAATTTTTTAATTTATCATCAAGAACTTTAAGGAAATCAATGTTACCTGGTTGGCGGGTTTATATCAAAAAATGATTTATAAATAACATTCATTCTTCCAAATTCATTCATATCTTTGATAAAAACATTCATATTTATAACATCAGTCCAATTTAATCCTAATTTAACCAATCTTTCTAATTTGTAAAGCCTAGCATTAATTTTCGTACTTTCACAAAATAACATATATTTATGGAAAGTTTACGTGTCAAATCTAGTTACCTTCGAGATTTTTCATACACACACGCGTTTCTTCTTCAATCGTATCTAACCGAGCTTGAGAATTTTTATGGCCGTAAGCAGTTGTTCCAGAAATGGCGAAGTAAGGTGAGTTTACATGCAAACTGTAAAGATCTACCAAAAAATTACATGGTAAAATATTTTGGTATAAGTTTGTTAAAACGTGCTAATTAGCAAATATTAAAATAAATTGATATATTGTATGTTCCAGAAACAAGTATCCTTTCTAGACAGGTCTTAATTTCAGATACCAGAAATGAGAGAAATATTGAGAACTAACATATATATATAGTGCTATTTTGAGGATTATGCAAAGGATGCTCATTTTCGGAATGTGTTTTAATTAGTTAATTACCCATATAATCATTATTCATCTCTGGAATGTAATCAATGTCTATTTTCGGAACGGCATTTAATACATTCTCGCCTTTAAATACCTTAAGTACTCCAATAATCAGATTGACAAAAAACTAAAAGCAATATAACACCTATTTAAAGAAATAATACCTCTACCTCTATTCTACTCAAAACATCTTCAAAACCATCACTCCATGCGGGAACTTTAATCAAGTTCGTAGTAGTGTTGACCGGTTTATCCATCACAACTAATTTTTTTAATCGAAGGTAAGCTACTTCTGCAAATGCATTATCCGAATGCATGATTATTTCACTTTCCTCACTATTAAAATATTCATAGCATGATCAAGGGATTTAATAAGTATATCAAAGCTTATTAATATAATTATGAATAATATTTAAACTCTTACACATGTAGCCTCTTGGTAAATAATGGACAATCTAAGGTAAATGTCTCATATTCACCTCCTTCACCACATACATGAACATCATATTTTTCATTCTATAGTATGAATATTTTCATTTTAAAAAAATGACCAGGATCAAATCGCAAAATATTCACTGATATCAAACCATACCAAACTACACAAATAAAGATATAAATCTTCAATAGATTTGCCCAAATGTGTTGATTTGAGACCTACATGGAGAATCATAAACATTTAAGCTTCAAAATAAATAAAATAAAAATAAAATAAACAGAATTATAAATAAATACTTGCCGATAGCAGCAACTTTAATCAATATAGCATTAATCCCAGAATTAATCATTTCTGATAGCAATTCTTTTTGATTTCTTCGCCAAAGATATGCAATGGGTGTAAGTCCTAAGCGAATACATCTATTGTGTGATAAAAATGTGGTGAATGTGAGTTAATAATACTCACCTAATCGGTGAGAAAATTAATAAGCAACATGAAATTACATTTACACATTTTCAACACGGACACGCTGATAATTTGATAATATTGCACCAACAGAAACCCCTTGAATATCTGTATTTGCTTCCTAAAAATTAAATTATATTAATATATTCCAATATTTGACGTTATTCAAAAGTAAAAAGCCCATAAAATTTACTAACTTTAACCTCTTTCAATAATTCAAACAGGTCTTCGGTTTCATCACCGGTAGTCAGTTTGTAATCCGCCTCTTGTATTAATGATCGACCAAAAATCTCACGTCTGTATAAGGGCAAGCCCATACATTCGGCATAATACGAAATTGCATCATGACCAACCGTTTGATAAAGAAAACTATCAAGTTCATCTATGATCAAAACAAAAGTGTTAAAATATATTTATATAGTCAAATATATAATAAAGTTGTTTGAAATACCTTTTTGAGAATCTATATGAGGTTTCAGATTTGCCAATGCAGTAATCTGATGACCATTTGCAACACAATGCATCATATTAAAACAACTGTCTTTTCCTCCGCTTATCAACGCTACGACCTTCATTATAATGATAGAAGTTAATCAAATTCGCTGCGAGTTTCTAACGCTCTAATATATTGTAATAAATATATCAGTAGACGCACGTTAATTCTTTGCTTTTTGGTTCAAAAAATCTTCGTATCCTATCGAAGATAAATTGTACTCTTCATACCTATAACGCTGCATAATATTTTACAATGAATAATGCAGCGCCTCAAACAGAAGAGTTTTTCATTTTGGTTTTGCAAGTATATTAAAAGTCTCTAAAATCAAAATCTATTGTAAAGTTGATTTTGAACTTTTGCTTGCTTGGCTCTCCCACTTTATGATTGTTACGAGATAATAGAATACTTACGTAGTATATTGAAACGTCTGTGATAATGGATAGGTTAGAATGTTTGCCTTGATCTCAAAAAAAAATAGCATCAAAATTTAACACGTGACGATCGACGACAAATTAGCCAACAACATACAGACATAGCGATAGGTGATAACGAATTAAATTAACTCCAGTAGTGTTTGTAGTCGACCTAAATTTGCTGACTCGACTAAGCAAAGTCGACCTCTTCTATTATGTGAAATAAAATAAATTTTTTCCATTCTAAAGTCTAGTTTTCTAAATTCTAAGTCGATTTTATCGATTACTATTTTGGTCCTTTTTTTTTTATGAAATGCAAATCCCAAAACTGTTGAAAGAAAAAAAAACTTGGAATATAGTAAAAAAACTCAAAATAATAAAAAAATATAATACTATATACAGATACAAATTTCTACGCATTTGAACAAATGTATACGTATAACACGGGTATATTGGCAGTCCCGTGATTTTTACCCAATCCGATTGCAGTGACCAGTGTTGGCCAAATATGGACATGGACAATATGGGACCAATGGACATGGACAAATATGGACTATGTCCATATTGTCCATATTTTTAAATGGACATAGTCGCTCAGTCCAAATTTAAAATGTGACTTGTGTAACACAATTTTTTAGAATTCGATTGGCTAAAGTAATCAACATATAGCGGTATATATAACGATAATACCAAAAAGAATTAAGATTACATTAAGTTTCTTTTTTTTTAAATTTTCTGACCTTATAT